CCTTCGTGGCCGTGATTGTCATCGTATGTCGAGGCTACAACATTAAGACAGCGGCTGCGTTTGCAGATGGATTGGCGCCACAAAATGGCGCACTTTTCAGTTTAATTTATTTCTTTGGGTCATTCTGCGTATATTACATTCCGCATAGTCATGTCATTCCGCAAGCCATGCCACATGTCATTCCGCAAATTCATTCCGCCTTTTACCCTCACCGCTACGATTGATTCATTAGATGAAGGGGTTTCGGGGCGTCCAATCTTTTGAATGGTGTCTCTGTCGTCGTTTGTCTTAAAAAGCTGCAAGAATCTGCCAGTATCTCTTTATCTTCAGTTCCTTTTTCTAGCTTCTTATTCTCTCTTTTTTATTATCCTACATATCTTTTCTTATCTTAGCGCAATTCAAATCATTCCGTCGTGTTTCCCTATCAAGGAAGGAATGACAAGGCCAGTTATCTTAGCTCTTTCGTCTCATATCATATAATCTTATTGCCCCACAGGGATTTCGCCCAACTCGAGCGTATATTAAGGAAAGCAATTACAGTAAAAATATACAGTCAGTATGCAAGAAAAAATCTCGATACGATTTGTTTGAACAGGGGCCACGAGGAATCGGTACGTAATGATGACGTTTCTATTGTTCGCGCCCGCAAGTAAGAGATGGTTCAAAATGGATATATGACGTAAAATAGAAAATCCCGAAGGAACCGCAAAGGTAGATTTTGTGACATTTATTGTATGTTATCAGTGACATTCTGTAGAGCAGTAGTTTTGAAAGTTATGGGCCAAAAGACACTCGTTAAGCGCAAACTAAGTTATAAGGGACTTATAACTGTTTATACATAAACACTTCGAGAGTTTCTTTGGGGTAGTAGACTCAACGGCTAGCGGTGATGTAGCAGCTATCGTAAGGTCTCCTCTGATTGGCTAAGGGTTTTGGCTCTAATATTGGAAGGGAATTGGTGCAAAAATATGGAATAGTATTCCCGACAGTGATCGTGTTCTACCTAAATATAAATTTGAGAATACCCTACAGAGTCGGCTACTGGATATTTTGATACAGGAGGATACTTATGTTGGCCTGCGTACTTTAATTGACATATTTAGTAAATATTAATTTCACTCATACCTTGTTTCATTTACCTGTTTTGAAGTATATGTATTCACTTTCTAGTGGATTCAATATGTTGATGTTCGTGTATCTGTTTAACTTTATTGTTATGTTTCAACCATATTATTGTTACCTTTTTCACTTTTCCTTCCCACCTCGATTAGCTATAGGCTACTTGGTGGGCAAGTATTAATTATGCCTTGTATCAGAAGTGTTTTTTAATAAACTTGAACTTGAACTTGAACTTCTAGATCTCTCTATAATAGATTCCCGCGTGACGAGATTGCGAACTCTCTTCGCTCGGAATTATCGTTGTTAACTAATGCATCGGTTTGATAATCAGTGAAACTGCCACTTAGACAAGTGGCCAATAATGCCAACACTCGAGTGGTTCTCTGTCTGTTGTATTGTATCACAACAATAGCGTGACTTCAATGAGAGCTCCCGAAGTTACTTTTAGTGATCGGCATGAATGCATTGATGGCAACAGAATCGAAAGGGTCACAGTTTATAAAGCTGCTTGGAGTTTATGTTAACAATGATCTAAAGTGGACCCATCACTCCCCCATCATGTAGACTATACATAATTAAAAAGGGAAATAAGAGGCATGACTCTCTCAGAGTTCTCAAGCAGTGTGATGATCCACCAGCTGAAACCCTCGCAACGCTTGAAACCCTTGCAACACTTGAAACCCTTGCAACCCTCGTAATGCTTGAAACCCTCGCAACGCTTGAAACCCTTGCAACGCTTAAAACCGTTGCAACGCTTGAAACCCTTGAACCAATAAACTCCATGAAAACCCTCTAGAATGCTGGTCTAAGGAAAACTTAATTAACTTATTTTAAAAAGCGTGACTAATTTATTTTGATAACTTAGCGCTCTCCACACGCGCGAAAATTATGAACGAGGCGGAACGAACGTGACAGCATATGAACAATATTATTGGTTTGAAACCCTCGCAACCCTTCACACTCTGTGAGCCAATCACAGTAGACCTTAGGATAGCTGCTACTGGGGTCAGCTTATCACTAGCACAACGATGGACGATTACAGATACAAATACGATTACAAATTCCGCCTTTGGAATCTTGCGATACAGAGAAAGACCTTGGTATGTGGGTGTCAAGCAATCTTACCTCGGACAAACAAGTGACTGAACAGTGTACGGAAGCCAACAAACTCCTCGGCCTTATGCGCCGAGCCGTCTTGGTACATCCAAAGCATCCAAACGTGTCGTACACTTTATCTTTCTATCGTCCGGTGCCATCTAGGCTACGCAACCCAAGTATGGTCGCCACAGTCCATTGGCTTGCTAAAGCGAGTTGAAAACGTGCAGCGCCGTGCAACAAAACTAGTTTTGAAGCTTCCTTTCCGTTGCGATGTAACCAACAAGACCCGCCTCCAACTAACAAATCTGTTACCTATCTCATACTGGCATGAATTTTTGGATATAGTCGTTTTCTAGGCTATAAAGTTGTTAATAACTTAGTTTTCATAGATAGTGAAGCTCTGCCTGCAACTAGACAATCGACGAGATCTACCAGGTCATCGAACAGCAATTCTACTACTTACATCCCTAAGCGAAGTACAACTGTTACTTATAAGCGCTCACAGATTTTTCATACGCACGTGCCGCACAACAAATGTTCGGCCCGCTGAGTTACGTACAAGTCACATCTCTCTAGCCTGATCTAAGCGTTCACTATTTCAATATTACAATAAGGCTCTGGACCTGTACTACGTTGACGACATCAGAACCTGGGCAACAATCTGTCCCAGGTGCAACATAGCGAGGACTCTCCTGTGCCCGCCGATGCTGCTTTTAGCAATTCGAACTTCTGTTTTGTTTCCTTTTGATCATCAGTAGCTTTAGTTATTAATTTTTTTTTTAACGGTTTTTTTTTTTAATTAACCAGGGATCCATTGCAATTGGTTAGGCTGTAGTGGTCTCCCTGCCTAATAATTTTTATGTATTCATGTAGAAAGATTGTATTCTAGTTAGGCGAAGCTAAATAAATAAAATAAAACTTCTAATTAAATCTTTTCTTATAGTTTAGAATAAACTATTCTCGAAACTGATAATGTTTTGATCGAAGCTGTGTAAATACATGGAACCTTTCGTTTCCTGTTTTTATCTACCTATTGTAAGGAATATGTGTGAAAATCTTTATTAAGAATCGGTATATTTCAAAGAGCTACACAACGACCAAGGATACTATTGACCGACAGTATACAGAGCGTGGGCAGCTGTAGTGTTAACCGATTGCTAGTCTTATCTTACCTTACCGTATTTTATTGTTACCTTTTCTTATCTTATCCTAATTTTTACGTTATATCCTTTCAAAATTCCATGAATGCGCGTTCTTGACCTTAAAATTGAAATCTGAAAAATAAATCGAAAGTTCTTAGCTTTTAGTATTGTAGCTTTGGACTGTATCCCACAATCTTCATCAGCAATGAACGTTCAGTGTCGTAACGTGAATTATCACGTGACAACAAATGATTGAAAATCGTGGGAAGTATTTTAAAAATACCTTTTCGTTTCCACTGCCGAAAATCCCCTTGGTTGATTCTCCCAGACCAGCTAGTGTTGACCAAATGTGGAATATGTTTGCTGTTAACATTACGATTAAGGTAAATCAAGTGATATCGACTGAAAACTGGACGTACAGACGTCACGCAAGAGGTTTTGGCATTGTAGAGCTGGAGAAGATAGCAAGAGGTTTCAGACGTTATCCGAAGACGAAATAACCGAACTACTAACGTTACAAAAATACAAAGCGATCGACTTACACGAAACTACAACTTGATGAACAACAAAGAAAGTCCTCCGGGAAGAAAATCTGCTAAAAACTGCCGAGAAAAAGCAGGCAACGGTTTTTAAGACGGAACTTTACATCGAGCAGGTGAGGATGTTTTCAGCTTGAAAATATTTTGAATGAATGATAAAACCATTATTTCATATCGATTGTACCTTATCTTACTGATATTACTGATATCTTGTCGGTAGTTGGACTATTTCAATCACCTTGGCTTAAAAATTGATATTGGATTTACTGATTAAATCTTTAGCCTGCGAAAATAATTGACATTTCGCAAAGTTACCACTGGATTTCCCTTGAAATGAGGTGTGAGAAACGAACGCAGAAATTCCATACTGATGACGTGTCACTACCCAGGTCTGGATAGTGCTTCTGACTGGCTGAAGATTTGCTTTATTAACCAATCAGAAAAATTACCCAGATCTGGGTAGTGTTGCGCCATCAGTGTGGAATTTCTGTAGTTGTTTCTCAGACATCATTTTACGGGGAAAGCAGCAGTGGTATGGCGAGATGTCGGCAGGTTTCTAAGGTCTCTAAATCTTCCGCTATTTTCTCCAGCATTGTACCACGTGCCGTCCGTCCCTTTTCAGTTTTTAAATTTACGATTTACGTCAATCGCCAATTAAGAGCAAACCTCTTTCGCGTATGTGGTCAACACTAGTTTGCTATAAGGAATTTATAGCCCAGGGATATAAGCTAATCAAAATCGGAAAAAAATTGGAATGAAAAATAATTATTAGTTATTTGCCAGAGAGGGCACTTTTTTTGATAAACGCTGCACGCGTTCTTCAAATGTCACACTGTTCATTAAATTCTGGTAATCAATCGAACGTTCTCTATATTTCTATTTTAGCCTGTTTTTGTAAACGGGCGTATTTAGTAAAAAAAATTGTCGGAGATAAAAATTCTTATTACTGGTGTTTAAAACTAGTCAGTAATATGACACTTTTTCATCTTATTATCTTGACGTTTATTTCAAGCTACTTCCAACAACGAGTAAATTTTCACCAACGTGAGAGAAATTTAATTTGTACTCTAGTCTAATAGCTTGATCTGTTACTGACAAAAGACTAGTTTGGGTTTATGTGAATGATTCTTTTCAGTGTACTTTTTACAATTTCACGAACCTCGCGATAACGCCAGCAATAAACAATGGGATTCAACGAAGAATTTAAGAATACTAGAGTCATGGAGGCATGATAAGTTATCACAAAGAAAATTTTCGATTCATCAGTTTGCATTAGTATTATTGAGGGAACTAGTGGAAAATAACAAGCCAAGAAAACAAAGTAGACGTACAATGCGTTATAAGCCGATTTCTTTTCTCGCATCAACTCCAGTGCTTCGGCATTTTGCGCTTGTGAGAGTTGCTGATGAATTTGATTTTCATGAGATCTTGCAACTTTGAACACTCGGATGTATACCATGCTTGTTAAGAAAAGTCCGACGAAGTCAATGATCGCAGCTACCATAAAATTGCCTCCTGGAAGAACTATGAAAATCAAGGCAGCCATGCTACTTGTCAGCCAAAGAAGCACCACAGAGCCCAAAACACGTTTCGCCGTGGCAAGCTCCGCGTAGCGCAGATGAAGCCAAATGGCCAGAAGTCTATCAAATGCGATAGCGATGACATTAAGAAAGGATGTACAGGAAAGAAAATTGATAATGTAGTAGCATGCGTTTAATAATATCGGACAGAACAATGCGAAATTGTTTTCACCCGACGAGGCCATCTTCAACATTACAGCCATTATAGCGCCGTACATTGGTTGTGAGAGTACCCCAACAGCAAGATCCGAAGAAGCCAGACTCAGGAACAAGGTTTTAACATTGGGCGGTATCGATGAGGCTTTTCTCAAAGCGCGAATAACCAGAATATTTCCGATTGTTGCCACCAGGGAAAACACCAAGTTTAGAACGCAGATAGACGTTATGAATACTTCGTAAAAGCGAACGAGTTGCACTAACTCATTCAAACGGGCGATGCAGAACTTGGACGCCATTGTAAGAGTTTAGAGGCCTCCGATCGATCGACTGTCTTTCGAAGATTGTATTTAGAGATTAAGTAAGTCTAACCAGGGCGTTTGTTGACCATTCTGTTATTACAGCTGTCAGGCCATGTCTTTATAGCTTAATTCATGACGTCCAGATGAAAACGCAAATGAATCCATGGCAATAAGGAACTAAAACTTGTCCAAAGGCTCATTCGATATTTAAAATCATATTAAAGTTCAAATTTGGCTCCCACGGTTCGGCGAATAGAACAGAGGAAATTACATGGAGGCTCACAGGGCGGGCCAAGTGTCAATTATATTCTAATAGATTAAAAAAGCTTATTTTATCGCTATATATAGGTTAGGGTTGCTGCATTTAGGGAATAATAACAAAAATGCGAGAGTGGAGAAAAATCTATACACAAGGCCACAAAATATGCGAATTATATGATTACTCGCAAATACATTCGGTTCTAGTTGTTTAAATTAAACTTTCCTCTGTTTTTTTTTGGAGACAATATCATGACCGGCAAAGAGAATGAAAAGGAAATTTAAAATTACTTTCTGTTATTTATTATAAAGGAAACCAGGTGTTTTCTCATAGACTGCAAAAGAAAAAGTGTTATCAAACTGTTTTTACGTTTGATTTACACCTGTCTTCGCTTCGTTGCTCTTCACTCCAATTTTTTGATAAAGTAGTCAGCTTTCCGGCTTCCGGAAACTTACACGCAAATTCGTCGGCGAATCAAAGAGTTCTATAATTGTGACAGTTCTGTGGTCTATTGAAAAATGTAAAATGTTGTTGAATGCTCCGACTAAAGAAACATCTTATTAAGTAGGAAGTAGAGGAAACTGTGTTTCATTAAGCATAAAGCGAGTTTCTTAAACTCAGACTTATTAAAACTTTCGGAAAGGGCTCATAGGATTTATTCTTTCAGGCTCCACCAATTTTTATCGTTCGTTGTTGCAAATTAAATCAATAACCAAGAACAATGTTGGTCGAGTGTTTTTATTTTTTGTAATTAGACTCAATAGTTTTAAAAATTTTTTCATTCCTGATATTTATAAAGATAAAAGCAAAAGTATGTCATTTATTAATTAAACACGAGTTCTGTCTTCAGGATTTATCCGAGTCGGATTCTAACCCTACTTTTGCGTGCCGAACTGCTGAAACACGCGTTCGTGTTTTTTTTATAGTTACTAGTATTGAAAAAGTTCAAAGCGAACCTTCGCGCTAAAATTTATGGTAATTTAAAAAGATCCAGCGTGGAAAACACCAAGGATTTTAGCGATTTTCTATGTTTTCATTTTATAAGCTATTTATGGATGAAAAATTGCAATATGACCGGCATTTTCTAAGAATATGATTGGTAGGAAATTTGAAAAAAACTCGAGGAAGTTAACAAGTAACCTTCATTTTGACAATTTATTTAGAGTGTTTTTAAAAGTCTGTCAATTTTTACAACAATATTTTTAATTGATGGCATTTTCTGTTTGTTTGAGATGATTTTCTTAAGACTGCCGGCCTACTTCAAAGAGATGAAGTGATCTCAGTTCAGTCTAATTTACTTAGGAATGAGGAAGATTTATAAATTCTTCCGGGGTCAGGCAACTTGCATTGTAGATGTGTTCGCTCAATCTCTTTCCGGCCACCGACATTTCACTGAATTAAATTGCGGAATGAGGATTACCCATTTAATAACCGTAAAAGAGAATGTTTTTTTGAAAAGTTCATGGTCACGCACATTTTTATACTGCATTAACATGGTTATAACCGTATAAAACTGTCGCGTACTTATGAAAACGAACGCCATGCAAATGCATAGTTTATATCAAAACCAAGACTGAATCTCGATAAAAAAGAAACATCGTGGATACGTGTCTCTCTTTGTTAAAGTTCCACATTGGTAAAAATAAACTATAAAAGTCATTATTGCCCAGGAACGCATTAACATGCTGTGATTTGTAGAAACAGGTGTCTTTTAAAAGTTCTGAAAATATCATTTGCTCCTTTAAAACCCGTTNTTGGTAGGAAATTTGAAAAAAACTCGAGGAAGTTAACAAGTAACCTTCATTTTGACAATTTATTTAGAGTGTTTTTAAAAGTCTGTCAATTTTTACAACAATATTTTTAATTGATGGCATTTTCTGTTTGTTTGAGATGATTTTCTTAAGACTGCCGGCCTACTTCAAAGAGATGAAGTGATCTCAGTTCAGTCTAATTTACTTAGGAATGAGGAAGATTTATAAATTCTTCCGGGGTCAGGCAACTTGCATTGTAGATGTGTTCGCTCAATCTCTTTCCGGCCACCGACATTTCACTGAATTAAATTGCGGAATGAGGATTACCCATTTAATAACCGTAAAAGAGAATGTTTTTTTGAAAAGTTCATGGTCACGCACATTTTTATACTGCATTAACATGGTTATAACCGTATAAAACTGTCGCGTACTTATGAAAACGAACGCCATGCAAATGCATAGTTTATATCAAAACCAAGACTGAATCTCGATAAAAAAGAAACATCGTGGATACGTGTCTCTCTTTGTTAAAGTTCCACATTGGTAAAAATAAACTATAAAAGTCATTATTGCCCAGGAACGCATTAACATGCTGTGATTTGTAGAAACAGGTGTCTTTTAAAAGTTCTGAAAATATCATTTGCTCCTTTAAAACCCGTTGAAAATGAATCCAAGCGCGTTACTACGTTTTCATTCTCAACAACTCTTTACTCCACTTGTAAATAATTTTGCGCTCTCTCTAAGCCTAGTATCAATTTTCTATCGAATTAATTGACCAGAAGTGTATTCATTGATCAATCTCAATAAGATAAGTCGCCTCTATGACGCTGAATTGAACCTCCCTTGTCAGTGGAGTTTGCCGGGATAAATCTCTTTAGTATGTACCAAATCAGAGAACAGCAATTTTCGAGTGTTTTGATCGGCTCCTGCAGGTGTAACTCGGAATATCCTTGGCTAATCATAGTTTTGCGACCGGAGCCAACATTGCGTCTCGTTTCGAGACATTTTTGGAAGACAAAATTCGTGCGATAAATGAGGCTGTCGTACAAACAAATACCAAGAAAGCGATGAACTTTCTCTTGTCGGTGTCACTGGTAGGTATAAAATTATTTTGAATTTGCAACAAAATCGTAAAATGCACTTGACAAAAATCCCCGAAATGTTTGTAAATTGCAAACAAAGTTCCTACTAAGTGGCCTTTTTAATTTACAAAAGGTTAATTTTTTTCAGTTTTATCCAACTGATTTGGTAAATACTAAAACAACTATTCCCCTCAGGGTCAGAGAACAGCGCTAGATATATATGCACCACTATTCACCTCTCCTTCGAGGAATAGTTGAATATTATTTTTCAAAGTTTTACGTCATTGAAAGTGGTTCGTCTGGACAATCACTGTACTGGAGACAATATGATGGAACTTGAACCTGAAAACACCGGAGCTTGCTAATTAGACACAAGGAAGAACGTGACTGGGAAAACTAGACGTAAAATGGCGTTTCATATAAAATAGGGATTTAAGGCAGAAAAACAGATAAAATTAGTGACACCAATAAATCATCCCACCTTTTTTTCTGAAGAGTTCCTGTTTATGTCCTTCCTACGTTTGATACTCAAGATCGTGTAATCTCCGACCTCCACAGACCGTTTAGAGGACAAGTCCGGCGAGGGAGACGCCGTTGGGCGAATGACCAGAAGCATGTGAAGGACGAATGAGGAGAGGAAAGAAAAAGAAGAACAAGAAGAAGAAGAAGAAGAACAACAACAACAACAACAATAACAAAAACGTCCATACCACTATCCCTGGAAAACTTTCTACTCACCCCTCCCCTCCCCTCGCCTCGCCTAACCGTCCGTTAACCCTAACTTCTGACTCAAGGCAACATGTTGGATTGAGGGAGAGGTGGGTGAGCTCCCGGAATTATAACCAACCAAAGCTTTCTCCGAGAAACTGTGTCTTTTAAAATGCTTCATTATAGTTAGAAATCCGCAGTGATAGACCTTGGTTTATAATAATCATAGTTTTTATCAGGTGAGCTTCTCACATGTGTCGTTTCAGTCACCCTAAATGATATTAGAAAGTAATTACGCCAACGTACCGGCGCAATTTTAATATTTAATTTTTTGTTGTTGTTAAAAACAACAATAATAAAAAACATATATAAAATATAAAAGGCCGATTTCTTGTTCTTTTCAGTTAAGACGATGGGATAAGGTTTTCATCCAAATTGAGTCCGCTAATATTATAAGTTTTGCCTTTCAGTGTCACTGCGGAACTAAATTATCGCCGCTTCTGTAGCATAACTAGACAGGCGAGGGCGAAAATCTGTTGAGGTGATTCGCTGGTTTAATTTGCACTGCGCATGACATGACCGCCGTGAAAAAGAGCATCTGAAGTAACATTATTAAAATGAAGTTGACTGAAGAGAACCGCTACTGGAATTTTCGCCTGCGGTTGTTTTTTGCCAAGAAGAGACTCAATGTCCGTGCGTTGGAACATTTTAGAAGCTCAAATTTTTCCTCGTGTGACTGATAATTGAGAATTGACGGTCAAAATATTTACTTCAAAATGGGGAAAGGATAATGAAAGTGCAACAAGTTCTTTTAGGTACATTTCAGAGGCTGTGCCTCCGCTTCAGGTTTTAGGCGCGATTTTGATTGACAGTTAAATGAACACGTGACAATGAGGAATGAACACATGTGTTTTGAGGCTTTCGCGTTGAAGACAATTGAGTTATATTTCTGTTTTACAGTGTCACTTCAGTGTTCGCGTTTAACAGTCGACTCCTCGAGAGAGGTTATTAAAAGGTTCTGAAAAATACGCCTTGTATGGTTGTTTACGTTATATAAGAATCGGTAAATAAAGGGAAAAGGGTCACTTGATCTATTAATTAGTTAAATAGCCAGTAGGATAAATAACATTTCCAATCATATAAGGCAGATTTGCTATTTACACGGTTTATGTATAAACATTTTGGTTTTTACAATGA